AATCTTGCAAAAAAAATTATTAATCTAATATTTACGCCAGCCGGGAACATTTGTGATACCAATTTTTTAGAAGCCAGAGAAAGCTCTTCTAGTTCATGTATTGCATAAACGTTCCAGTCGGTAGACGTATATTTAACTCCGCTTCATACTAATACGAATAGGGTCGGATAAAACCTTCCACGGCTTTCAAAACGCCGCACCGCTGTGCCGGTCGGAGTGGAGGGTGTTAGGTTTATTTTCGTTGCGGGATTATGGAATTTCTTGATTCGGTCGCCACGCCTTAAGCCCGCGATAAAAGCTATGCAATAGCTTAAAAATTCTGCAAACTTTTACAGAGCCTTTAAAAGTATGCGTGTCTAACTCCTTTTATATTAATGACAAGGCTAACAAATACCAATAAAGCTAGCTCACACAATAAATGCACAACTAACACACATCAGTATGGATAAATTATATTAAAAATATAGTGTTAAATAGAAACAATAAACATTTTAGTGTTTAGAATTTTTCTAGGACTGGTTCTTTACTTACTATTCTACTGTATTAGTTGTAAGTTTATTATGTTTCATTGTTTTATATTTTGTTTCTTATTTGAAAAAGGGGGATGTTGTGTCACCTTAGCCACTGCGATCCGGCATCGTGGCTAGAGACACAGGGGCCTAACCTAACTCTTTGTTACCGGCATGTGGTATGTTCTACTAAACGTTCTGATGGACTTATGTGAACTAATAAAGAAGTTTATATGTGTATTTGAATTATTAGTGTTGTCCATCTACCTAACACAACATGGTGGCAGCTGTAAAAGTGATATAATAGTATGTAAAATAAGTACATTTGTGTTTGCTTTTCCAAGTCAGATTCGCGCCAAGTTCAACTTAATTTTCGGTAAGTCCTAGGCTTTTTAGATATTACAAGCAGCAAATTTTCACTAACCTACAATGGCGGAAGCAGCAGTTAAAATAGTTGCACCTCCGGACAAATTTAATTTTTCAAGCCCAGCGGGTTGGTCCCATTGGATTAAGCAAGTCTGAGGAGGACAAAATGAATTCATTTTTATATTTAATGGGTGAGGAAAGTGAAGACATTCTCATGCAATTTCCCACACAACCAACTACTTTTCAAGCAATGAAAAAAGCTTTTGAGGATGATTTTATACCTCGTAAGAATGTTATTTTAAAAAGGTTTCAATTTAATTCACGATTTCAACATCCAGGTGAATCGGCAGACGCTTCTATAACTGCATTGCATTCACTGGCAGAAAATTGTGAATTCTCAAATATTAAAAGCGAACTCATTCGAGACCGAATCGTAGTAGGTATGACTGACAAAAATACTAGCGAACGTTTACAGTTACAAGGTCAACTTACTTTAGATCAAGCTGTTTTAGCTGCAAAACAAGCTGAAATGCAGGCTCAGCAGAGCAATATTTTGCGTAATGAAAATTAGTTGAATGCTATTAAACGAGGTAACACATTCTACAAGGCTCGAACAGATTCCCCTAAGACATGCCAATATTGTGGTCTTGGCTATCACCAACGAGAGGCATGTCCTGCAAGAAATGGAAAGTGTCGTCGCTGCTCAAAAAAGGGCCACTGGGATAAAGTATGCAGAAGTGCAAGTTTTAGTGGTAAAGAAATACAATCCATTAGTGTAAAACATGAAATTAATATGAACCAAGAACAGTTTTTGGGACAAATAAATATTTTAAATTTAAGTAATAACTCACCTTGGTTTGTTAATATACAAATTGAAAATTTTGATAAAACTGTTCCATTTTTGATTGATAGTGGGGCAGATATAATTTGTCTTCCAAAAACAGGTTTGCCAAATGTTCCAATTTCTCTTTTACCTTGCAAAGAAATTATATCTGGCCCAGATGGTAAACATCTTAAAGTTTTGGGTACGACAAAACTAATTTTAGGGTATAATAATATCAAACATTCTAGCGTTGTGTATATTATTGAAGATTTAAAAAAAAAACACCTATATTGGGTCGGCCTGGCATTATAAATCTGAATATTTTACAATTTCCAAGTACTTTGTTGCAATCTAACATTAACAATTTGAATAGTAAAATTTCTTTAGTACATATTCATCAAGAATTTCCTAAACTTTTTGATCAGCTAGGTGAATTTAAACAAGAAATATTGATAAATATTAAACCTGATTCAAAACCATTTTTACAAACAACGCCTCGTATAGTTCCATTACCCCTTTTACCTATAATACAGAGTGGACTTCTCCTATAGTAGTCGTTCCAACAGGTGATTCAGTTAGGATATGTGGGGACTACACAGAACTCAACAAAGCAGTTTTACGGGCACATTTTCCTATCCCTAAAGTTGAAAGTTCTTTAAATAAACTTAGCGACTCCTCTATTTTCTCAAAATTGGATGCTAATCAGTTTTTATCAACTACGTTTGAATAAACTCTGTCAGTCTCACACTACATTTATCTGTCCTTTCGGTAGATTCCTTTTTAAGCGGTTACCGTTTGGTTATCTCATGTGTTCCTAAGTTTTCTCTTCGAAATTTTCCAAACTTTTTTTTGGTTTACAGGGTGTCATATCGCACATCGATGACATACTTATTCATGCACCCACAGTAGAAGAGCATGACACTATACTACGTGAAGTTCTTACTCGCTTAGAAAAAGAAGGTGTTACTCTTAATGAGTCTAAGTGTCAAATTGGGGTAAATTAAATAAATTTTCTGGGTCATGTGGTTTCAGGATCAGGGGTAGAAATAGATCCATCTCGTGTTTAATCTATACTAGATTTTCCAGCTCCTACTTGTAAAAAAGAAGTCCAGCAACTTCTTGGCATGAATAATTTCGCTTCTCGATTTATTCCCAATAAATCTGAAATTTTAGAGCCAATTTGTAGTTTATTAAAAAACGACGTTAGCTTCCTCTGGTATGTTCCTCAACAAAATGCATTTACAATTATAAAAAAGTTACTTACTAAAACTCCTTGTCTGTCATTTTTTGATTATACTAAGAAAATTATAATTAGTGCTGATTATTCATCTTACGGTTTGGGTTGTGCTTTAATGCAGGAACATAATAACCAGAGAGGATTAGTAGCTTATGGGTCTAGAACTTTAACACCTACAGAGATCCGTTATGCGCAAATCGAGAAAGAAGCTTTAGCATTTGCTTGGGCTTGTGAGCATCTCCAAGAATATTTGATTGGTATACCTATTATTTTAGAAACAGACCATAAGCCACTGCTTTAAATTCTCCAATCAAAACATCTTGATGAGCTTACCCCAAGGCTTCAAAAATTTAGAATTCGACTTATGCGTTACGATTATCAGGTTATTTACACTCCGGGAAAATATTTAGTACTAGCTGATGCTCTCTCGAGAAACCCCTTAAAAAGTACATCACTTAGTGAAGAATTATCTTCTGAAGTGGAAGCACACGTTAAACTTATTGTTAAGTCACTATTAGTCAAAGACTGTTTTTTGGAGAAAATTATTTCCGCTCAAAATTCCGATGTGATTTGTAAAAAATTAAAACATTTTTTAAATTCTGGTTGGCCTGAAAAACATAAGTTATCCCCAGAATTATTGCCATATTTTCAATATCGTAACGATATAAGCCCAGGTGAATGTCAGTATGGTGGATCGGAATATCCACACAGATTGAAAATATGGTAAGAACATGTCCAAATTGTATCCAAGAGCGGGTTAATATTAAGGAACCATTTCTAAGAGAGTCTTTTCCCACAAGACCCTGGCAAGTCATCGCACTCGATCTCTTTAAATATAACATTTGGTACCTGATAGTAACTATTATTCCCGTTTCATCGAAATAGTTCCTTTATCTAAGTTAACAGAACAAGAAATTATAAATTCTATGAAAAATATTTTCGCTAGATTTGGCATTCCAGGTTGCTGTCGTACTGACAATGGTCCTCAATTCCAAACAAATTTAAAAAAAAATTGCTACTAATTATAAATTTAAACATGTTACAAGCAGTCCCTATTTTTCCCAGTCTAATGGAGCTATTGAGGCGGCGGTAAAAATTGCAAAAAATTTGTTAAAGAAAAATGAAGATATACATTTGGCTTTAATGGCATATAGATCAACTCCGCTACAATGTGAGTTTAGTCCGGCCGAGTTGTTAATGGATCGAAAAATAAAAACTTAGTTGCCTATTTTACCTGAAAAGCTAGAAGAAATTGTAAATTCTAAAGAATCTTGCTTAAAAACGGAGATGGAAAGGGTAGAAGGAATAGGTAAGAATTATGATGCCAGACAGCGAACTAAAGAACTGAGTGAGTTGTCAATAGGTACGTCGGTGTGGGTTACTGAAAATATGGTGTTATAGAAAGTAAAGCTGATGAACCTAGATCTTATATTGTTAAAACGTCTAGAGGTTCTTATAGACGTAATAGGTGGATGCTGATTGAAGCTCCTTTATATGAACAAGTACCCCAGACTGGTTTACCCAGTTACTCTGATGCATGCGTTCCTAAAAATATTGTCAACCAAAATTTATCTTGTGATAGTGATGAAATAGTGGTAAATCTAAGTGCGTCGTCAAGTAGTGAACCGGCACAAATCGACAATAGTGAAACATACACTGAAAATAGTTTAGAAAATAAATCGGATATACAGCCAGGAACTAACGATTCCAAAAACATTACTTCTAAAACTAAAAGAATTTCCAAAAAACCTGCCTGGATGTCTGAGTATATTAACTAACAAGGTAACTTAAGAGTTTTTTCATTCTACTGTATTAGTTGTAAGTTTATTATGTTTCATTGTTTTATATTTTGTTTCTTATTTGAAAAAGAGGGATGTTGTGTCACCTTAGCCACTGCGATCCGGCATCGTAGCTAGAGACACAGGGGCCTAACCTAACTCTTTGTTACCGGCACGTGGTATGTTCTACTAAACGTTCTGATGGACTTATGTGAACTAATAAAGAATTTTATATGTGTATTTGAATTATTAATGTTGTCCATCTACCTAACACAACAATATCTTACCTCTTGCGTCATTACATCTAGAAAGTCATCAAAGGAAGTCGCTTTTTTAAGTCCACACTTTGCTCTTATGGTACTGTAAGTTGGGATTGCATGATCTCTGCTCCTTTGAATATCTGTGGCATGTAAGTCTACTCCAAATTTGAAAGGACTAATACCAAACCGAATGCTTGTGGTAACCTAAATTAAATAGCATATGAAATATTTGTCACAATTGAAGAACAAATTGTTCTCAGTATATTTAACTTTCTATTTATTGGTAACGAGTTATAAAACTGGTGTAATGTCCTTCTTTGTAAGTAAAACCAAACTTATAATGTTGAAAATAATTTGCTAATTCTACTGTTTTCTTTTGATATATTATTATATTAATAAATCAATTTTTAAGAGTGACGCAAAATACTTACAACTGGGTCAAATGACGAACCGACTTTGTTAGCTCTTTGACAAGTACCTCCACGTATCAGATGATCAAAAGTACCATTTAGTTCAAGTACTGCAGGATTATTTATGTGATCGATAAATTTCAAATCGCCCATACTCTCACGCTTTTCATTAGCCATTCTAAAAATAATACCAGAAACCATCAAAATGACTGACTGACTGACTGACAAGTAAATCATTAAGTAAAGTAAATCATTCATTTTCACTAATGTGGCAATCCTTTATAAGGAAAGTAAACTAGTTCTGGCCTTTATGGGCCATCAGCAGGCATAAAATTGAATGTTACGGAGCACGTTGGCAAAACTAAAATTATAAAAAATTAGTGGTTTATGAAATTACCAAGTACACTGGTTTTTTAAAATTCACAAGCCACTGCAAGGCGTTATAGTCACTTCTAATGATAAAACTTCTATTAAAAAGTTAAGTATGAAAGTGTTCGAGGGCTTTGACAATAGCTAAAAGATCTTTTCTTGTGACGCAATAATTATTCTCCTCAGCTTTACCTAAGGTCTTACTACAATACACAATTACTTCCTCTTCATCCTCCTGTTCTTGGGATAGCACGGCGCCCACGCCGTGTTGGGATACGTCGCAGTCTTAAATGAATTGCTCTTTTTCCCGATGGTTTAAGGATCTTGCTAATATGGTTCTGTGTAACTGGGATTTGAATGTGACTTGGTTCGGCTGTAGATGAAGACAAGGTAGTGTTGCTCACCGAAGCTTGGCTACGAATTCTTCTTTCTAACTACCATTTTAGCTTTAATTTGCCTTTTTAACTCTACTCTTGCCTTTTTCATGTTGTTTTAAATTCTCTGGTCGTTGTCTAAATTGGTTTTTAAATTCTGTTGCTGCTTTTTTTAGATGTTCTTGTTATTGCTCCAAATTAATTTTTAACCTCTCTTGCTGTTGTTCTATATTAGTTTTAAAAAATCTTGTTGTTGTGCCAAAATATGTACTCTATTTTTAGGCTGACAAACCTTTTGCTTGAAAGTTTCCTGGATTTGTAGCAAACCGTTTATAATTTCAAAGCATTTTCAAAGTGATTGTTCAATAAATCGTGTTTTATTAGTGATATTTTTGAGAAAGCCCATCAAAGATGCCTGAATAAACACAAACCGCTGAGGTTAAGATTTTCGCCTTTTAGGCTGATATTGCTTAATTAATGAGTCTGATTATCAACACCTTCTACTCAAACAAGGAAATCTTCCTCAGAGGGTTAATCTCAAACTCCTCAGATGCATTGGACAAGATCCGTTATAAATCGCTCACAAATCCATCATGTCTAGATTCCGGAAAAGATTTGCACATTAAAATCATTATCAATGAACGTAAAGGTAGGTTAAGATTACAACTAGAAGAACACAGCTACGTCATAACTATTACTTTAAATTTAGAATGCATATTAACTATATCTTTCAATAATTAAAAATTGAGTAAGTTGTTAGGTGTAAAACAATATTTCCTATACTTATATAATATTAACACTTCACTAAAACCCCATTAGGCGGCGATAACCAATTAATTAAGTTGCCAAATGATGACGTAGCTGTGTTCTTCTAATTGTAATCTGACTCTACTTTAACCATTGTCAACGCCCTCGAACACTTCCACACCTACCTCTTTAATAGAAATGTTATTATTAGAAGTGATCATAGCGTCTTGCAAACCTGAAGGACAAGTTTCTAGATGGATAGAAAGACTGCAACAATACAACTTCGAGATAATGCATCGAAGGTGACCTCCATAGCTACACAGACATTTTTTTTAGGCTACCGGGTTTTGACGAGAATGCCGGAACTGTAAAAGGCTTGAAGAACGAGAGGAGCTGGTTGAAGAAGTTAGTCTTTAGGCGACCACTATCAAGCCGGAGGATGACGAAGACGGAATTACCCTTAGGAGCTTAAGAAAGACTCAAAAGGAAGATAATGACTTAAAGGTTGTCCGAGAAATCCTTAAAAATTGAGTCAGACCTACATGGTAAGATATAGCCAAACATAGTGGAACCGTTAAAGGGTACTGGACTCAGTGAGATTCCCTGTATCTTTACGATGGCCTAATGCCCCGGAAGTGGGAGAGCCTCGATGGAGTACATGTAGTCCGCCAAGTGATACTGCCAAAATCATAGGTCAGAAGTTTGTTGGAGGAGTTTTATAGCAGCCGTTCAGGAGGACACTTTGGTACTAAAAGGGCACTTGCACGAGTTCTGAAAATATTTTATTCGGTAAATTGCCTACGGATATAGAAGATTAGTGTAAGAAATGTGACCTTTGTAATGGCAGAAATGGGCCCAAAACAAGAAGTCGAGGTAAAGTGGTGCAGTACGTTTCCGGAAAGCATTTTGAACGAATCGCCATAGATATCCTCGGACCACTTCCCTTAACAGAAAGAAGAAACAAATACTTGTTGGTTGTTATGGAGTATTTTTAAAGTGGCCCGAAATAGTGCCTATCCCTAATCAGGAAGCGACGACAGTAGCGGAAGCATTTATGACGAACGTTATTGCGAGACAGGGAGCCCCTCTGAAATTACATTCTTACTAAGGACAAAATTTTAAATCCGAATTATGGCAAGAATTGATGAAACTGTTAGGCATTAAGAAAACACGCACTACACCTCTCCACCCATAGTCCGACGGAATGGTAGAAAGACACAATAGAACTATATGCCAGTATTGTCACGTCCAGTAAATTATTAAAAAAACCATTATTAAAATACATTAAAATAAATTATTATACTTTTAAATAAATCATAATAAAAATAATTATCTCTAATAGAAAATCTCAATAATCCCTTAAATGTAAATATATCCCTAAGTAAATAATATTGTATACATTTTATAACAAAAACATAAACGTTGAACTATTAACGATCTACATTAAAGGTAGGGTCTCTTTTGGGCGAGTAGTCGAGACGTTTAGACGCGGCGCTTAATCGCTTACGTCTAGATGCACCTGATCCCACCTAGTGGTCTGTTTACGTCGTCCCCTCAAGTAATCGACTAGTCGCCAATCAGTATTTTTTATTTCGTTCGACAAAAATGACTACTAGTGAACTTGTGATTGCAGCACAGTTGCTTATAGAAGAAGCAAAAGACGATGACATTTTGTTCAAAGAAGAAGAAAGGAAGGGTGCTTTAGTACGCTAAGAATGAGACAAGTAATTGATGACGAAACTAAATTCAAAGAATACTTTAGGCTTACCAAAAGTCAGTTTAATGAACTGTTAAATATTGTATCAATTGATATAAAACAAATTCCTTTGGAGCTCATTTTGCATCAATAGCAGGCGATTAAATAAAGGTGCGCGTTTAAATTGCCTGACGACCAATTTTGCCGTAAGATTCGTCGTCTTGTGGCGACTTGTATCGACTTGTCATTATGATACCACTATTTAACCTATCGGCACGATTAAACGCCGCGTCTAAACGTCTCAACTACTTGCCCAAAAGAGACCCTACCTTAATTGTGTCGACTTAAAGAAATAGCAAATTCAGCAAATAGTTAATAGGTATAAATTCGACAGTGATTACTGTTACGAGGACAGTTCTCCTTTTGCTGTACTGGGAGGTATTTAAAGTAATTGATACCTTTTAGTTTTGGAGTAAGCGTCGTGACGTGCCACTCACGGGGAATGTTTTGGTAAGGCCCTCTTGTTATATCATTAATATATATTTGTTATTTTAAAAATAATTGATTTATTTGTTTATTAATAAATAAAGTTTTTCTGTTGTTTATTGGATTTTTATTTCATAATGAAAGGTAGCTTAAAGTATAATATTAAATAATTCTTTCGACCCATGGAAAAGGGGGTCATGACAGTATCTATCAATGTTCGTATCTGATAATCAAAAGGATTGGGACACTTTAATTTCTTTATTTCGGCTAGCTTTCCGAAGTCCTAAACATAAAACGACCAGTTAGACTCCATTCATGATGATTACTGGAAGGGAGATGAAACTTTCCCACGATCTTCTTTTTGGAAGGCAGCCTCCGGGTAAAGAAGAGGACCGTACACCTCTCTCGTACATAAAGAACTTAAGAAAAAGATTAGAGAAGGTATAAGAATTTACTCGGCAACGTTTGAAAGTTAATAGCGATAAAGCAAAAGCTAGAATCGACATTCATGCCACAGGACCACATTCTGAGAGAGGCGATCCATAATGGCTGTACAGTCCCAAGCGTGGAAAAGGACTTTGTCAGAAACTGAAACGGAATTAGGAAGGCCCCTTAACCGTCCTTGTTATGTATGTTTATATTAGTTATTTAAATGAAACACTAAATTATAGTTATTAACTTGTGCGTATATTTTGTTTGTTATAATCACAATGATCCACATGGGTATGTCGCGTCACAATGCTTGCGCACTGCTCGATAGCAGCGGAAGTTGAAAACAGTAGTGCCAACCTACTATTAGTAAAATACACCACAATACCTCCCCCTATAATTTGGTAATAAAAACGTATAACTAAACAATATAATAACTACTAAAATTAACAAACAAAAATAGTAACCCTTATACTTAAGTATAAACTAGTCTATCTATTGCCTTAACATTTCGTTTAGGCCTATTATCTAAAGTTTTATTTTCTATTACGGCTTCTGACTCCTTATTAGACATTACCTTGCTAACATCATCAATTTCGATAGATGTAGAGGTATCAGCATTGCAAATAGGAATTAGAGGTGTACCAGCATTTTTTATTTTTTTAATTTGATTAGTGTGCCTTTTCCAAGTTTTTTGCAATTCTGGTATCTCTACTATGTAAGTATGTTTTCCTATCCTTTTTACAACTTTTCCTTTGACAAAACCTGGCTTATTAACAACTCTATAATCTTTAGCTAACACTTCCGCACCAACATTATATTCAATACCCTTTTTTCCTCCACTATTTACAATTTGCTTTTTTTGTTGATTTTCTACCCGCTCCCTTACTTCATTATATTTTACAGCATTGGAACTTTTTACTTTACGCAGAGGAGGCAATAATGTAGAAAAACGTGTCCTTAAAGGACGTCCAAACATTAAATTAGCGGGACTGACCCCTGTTGTACTGTGTGGAGTATTCCTGTAATCGAATAAAAACCTGCATAGTGCCAAATGGCTAGTACACCGTATACTAA